ATACACATAAAATAAAAATAATTATTAGAAAAAAAGAATGTCTAGCCATGAACCTTTGTTTAGACAAAAATATTTTTGCAAAGACTAGCAGAGTAATAGTGATGAAATGAAAGCTTAGCCTTATCAATGGTTAAACTGGATACAATAAATAGCAAATAATTGGGCAGCATATAATGGGCCCAATTAAGGGTTTTTTTTTTCCCCTCATCTTACTAAACCACTCCAGCCCCCAACACAGCATGCTGTCCACAATATTCATAAGCAATAATCTATGAAGGCAGGTGGTGTATGCATTAGTCCTTAATAATCATTATCCTCTTGTTCTGTACCAGAAACCCTTATATTCTTGTCACAGAAAGTTCCATTGGGCAGTACTGTGTCACTGTGGACTTTAAAAAAATTTATATGAACATGTGAGTATGCACATGTATACGATGGTGCCAGCAGAGGCCAGAAGAGGATGTCAGATCCTTGGAGCTGGAGTTACAGAGGATTATGAGGCACCCAACAAGGGTACTGAGATCCAAACTCGGGTCTGCTGATACAATGATCTACAATATTCATACAGACACCTCTTTGCACATGTTATATCTATAGTTTATATATTTCAACTGCAGGTATCTATATAATACAATAAAAAACCAGAAACATTACTTACCTTGGTTTCTACTATCAGAAACTTCTACTCCAGTTTCCATCTTTATATCATCAAGAATGACAGCATCATCATCCTCTTCCTCTTCCTTCTCAGAATCTTCAAGATGACCCCAGGAGTTTTCTATTCCCTCTCCAATCTGGGCAGTTCCAAGAGTCCACAGGACAGGTTTAGAAACACTTACCAAGTTAAGAAAACTCAATAGCAAAAATACTGCTATTGATGAGCTACTGAAGAAAGGCAAGTTTTCCTGCAAGATTGTTTAATGTGCTCCATAAATTCTTAGGATAAAATTTCAGCTATACTGTGGATTACTAAATGATAAAGAAGAAAAACATAACAAATAATAAGGACATCACTAATGGCCAACTCTGTATTATTTCTTGAATAATTTCAGGAATATGTAATAGTACATAGAGAATTTGGCCATGTCAGCAATATTAAAGCACCTTTTTTTTTTTGGTCTTTTTGAGAGAGGGTCTCCCTGCAGCCCCAGCAGGCCTGGAATTCACCATGTAGACCAAGCTGGCCTCCATCTGGAAAGATGTGTCTGTGTCTGCCTCTGCCTCCAAACTGCAGGGATTAAAGGCGTGCACTACCACACCTGGCTAAAAGCACAAGTTTTAAAAGGAAAATGAATGCTGTAGTTTTGTACTTTGTATGTACTTTTTTGTGGTGCTGGAATGGAACCCAGGACCTTATACATGCTGGCTACTACTGAGCTACATCCCTAACTATCCACGCTGGCTCCTAAAATAGAAAAATGTATGGTTCTTAGAGATGACTGAGAAGCTAAATGTTCTCCTATCAACTTAATAGAACTTTTGTTTTCTTATAGTACAGTATTTCAAAAAACAAATTTTAGTATGTACACATATAGCCTTAACAAAGCAAGAAATGCTAAGAATCTTGTTACTATGAAAACCACCTAATAAAGATACACTTCTGGAGGAGGTTCAGCTTCAGCAATGATTTCTTCTGCTTTCTCCTCTATATTAGAAGTATCAACAGGGGCCTTCTCCATTTTAAATGCTGTGATCCTTTCATTTGCTATGGATTCTGCAAAGCCAAATTTTCCACCTTCTTTCCTGTATGTAGGTTTTGATGGGGGTTGTTTTTGGAGATGACCAATGAGAGAAAAGACAAGAAGGAAAAAGTTACTATTCTGTCCTGTGATAGGTGAGAAATAGAGCTAGTTTGACTTAACTTTCACCTCCTGTCCTAGTTAGCATAACTGTCAACCTGACACAGCCTAGAGTCACCTGAGAAGGAAATTTCAGTTAAGGGTTGCCCAGATCAGATTGCCCTGTGGGAATGTCTGTGGAGGACTGTCTGGATTAATTGATGCAAGAAGGTCCAGCCCACTGTGGTGGCACCATTCCCTGGACAGGTGGTTCTGAGCTGTATTAAAAAACTAGCAAAGCATGAGCCTGTGAGGGCACCTCTATAATTTCTGCTGTATTTCTTGGCTGTGAGTTCCCTGGTCGGAATGCTGGGTGGAACAACAAGCCACCTTCATGTTCCTCAATGATGGATTGGGATCTGGAAGTATATGCCAAATAAATCCTTTCCTCCCCTAAGCTAATTTTGGTCAGAGAGTTTTATCATAGCAACAGAATTCAAATTAGAACACTAGTATAGCTATCAATGAATAGTCACCATAATTACTTATTGAACCTGTGCTGCACATGTTACTTGACAAGTATATTCTCTAATCTTCAACTCAGCTGTACCAGGAAGGCACAAGCCTTCCACAGGACAGGTGCTGGGTATTATATCCTGCTTAAGGCAAGAAGTAGAGCTGTGAACCAATCTGTTCGTTCTTTCCATTAATTTGAGTTAATAGATTCTTTTTTCTTAAGAACACAGTAACTTTTAAAGAAAAAAGTTCTGTGAGTTTTTGGAATAAAATCTAATCAACTGTCAAAAACCACTAGTATATTCAATGAGATTAACAAAGGAGAGACCAAGTATGAAATTATTTATCTACCATTGTATGAGAAAAGCCCTTAGAAAACAGATTAAAAGACCATTTAGTTCTGAAAAGTTAAACTTACCTAGCTCTCTGGTCACTCTCCAAAGCTTTCTGTATCAGCTCGGTAGTTTCTGCTACTTTTACACCAGCTATTTTACTGCATCTCAAAACCTGTTTATAAATGTGAACTGTTAGTTAAAGACAAATCAAACCATGAGATAAAATTTTTCTACCTTGGCAATTTAAGCTTTTCTTTTCCAAACATGAAATTAAGGCACTATAAATACAAAGTAGGACAAAATATTAAAGTCATTTATCACATTAAGGGAACAGACTTGAGAACTTTCTTATGTGACTGTAGGACACTGTGGGGAGGCCACCGATATACATGCCTGGGAAGGCAACTTCCTTTCCAATCAGCAATCCACAGAAACAAGAGTCACATGTATTTGTGACACTAGAAACAATGGTACCTACTACCCACTGACAACAATGGAGAGTGACAGTCATTGAACATTTCATGCATTCCCAACACTGTAAAAAATCACCTGCACATATTTATCCTTCAAACCCTTCTACTAAGGTGTCAGCAGTACAATCATTGCCTACTTCACAGATAAGACAGAGACCAAGGATAAGAAGCCATTTGCCTACAGGCAGTTAATACAAAGTCCAGCTAAAATTTGAACTGGAGTTCCTCCTATTGCTTATAGTATATGCTATGGCACTCTAGTTTCTAAAAGCTTTCACATGGATTTTCTTTGAGAACTGCTTTATATGCCTTATTTTTCTCTTGAACATTAATTATATGTATGTAAATAAAACATGTGAATTAACCCCTTGCCCAGTTGTCTGGTTGTGTAGTCTTTGCCCAGCAATCCACTTGGCAGATAACATCTGTACCTCCAGCTCCAGGGAATATGATGGCCTCTTTTGGCCTTTGCAGGCCATGACACTGGTCCACTTAACGGCATGCAGGTAAAACAAACCCATACAATAAAAATACATTAAAAATTTTAAAAAGGGGCTGGAGAGATGGCTCAGCAGTTACGAGCACTGACTGCTCTTGCAGAGGACCTGGGTTCGATTCCCAGCACCCACATGGCGGCTATGAACCATCAACTCCAGTTCCAGAGGAATCCAAAGTCCTCTTCTGACCTCACCGGCATTGCACAACACAGGTGCACTCAAGCATGCAGGCAATATACT